CCTGAAAGAATCTATTGTCCAAAGGAAAGAGATTACGGAGGATGCCGCGGATAAGAATCTCTGGGATGGCTATCTGGTGGTTGGCAAACAGTACCTGAAAATCATGGCGGAAATAGACAACGGTGACTCCTCCAGCGCTCCCCTTGCGAGAGTCATGGAAATTCGACTTGGTCGACTCGAAAAGAAGTTGAACATTCCGGCTGAATCTTCCCTCATTGTCGGAACGGAATATTAATATATAGGAACGGAATAATATATAGGTGTGATTACTGTGTTACGCTTCTTCTTCCCTTCTACGTTTTTTGTTGCGCGACGGTCTTTTCAGCTGTAGGCGCTTGACTCTGTTGGCCATGAATTCCCGTAGGTACGACATCCCCTCACAGCTCGAATAAACATTGTCAAGTCGTACAGGATCACCATTCACATCATGCGGAACGCTGGGAATGTAGCCAGTGCCGTTCACATTGGTGGCAGGCTCTGTTGTTGGGCCCGCCGTTTCGAGTCGCTCATTAATACAAAAGTTGTGTAGGCGAGCTATAGCCTGCGCCAGCCATATCATGTTCTTCAATGAACAGCCAACAGGACGCGATAGTAAACCCCATTTCATCTGCATAATGCCGAAGGCCATCTCCACCCTTATGCGGCACTGGCTGGCGTAAAAGTTGAAATTGTCGTAGAGTGGGATCAGTTTGTCGGAACCCTGGTACACCGGTACCATGTGCTCCGTAGGGATGTATGCCGCATCGCCAATTACGCAAACACCGTTTGGAAGTGACTCCACCAAATTTTGTAAAGCACATTGCCGCATAGCATTACGGTCATCCGAAACCCCGGGAGCGGCATAGGCAAAGAAGATGAACCGAGAATGGTGGTCCGCTACGGCCTGGATGTTTACTCCATAGCACTGATAGTGACCTGAGAAGAAGCTTCGGATGTTGCCAGTTTCCTTCTTGGTTGGTACCCTGATACGCATAAGATAGCCATCGACGACACCAACACAGTTATGTATGGCAGCACCGTCCGATATCCCGGCAAAGCCGTCCATTGCGGTCTTTATTTCCTGTTGAGTACGGGGGAATCGAATCTTCAACTGCGGACACTTGCACAATGCCGTTATTGTCTTCCATAGTACTCGATAGAACGAGCTACGGGAAATTCCAGCAATGTCTGTAATATCCAGGTAGGAGCCGCCGGCCAAATATCGAATCGTACAGTAGAGGCACAGTTCCGGTATGATGGATCCACCCCTTCGCATAGCTTGAGTCTCGTTAACAAGCAGGTCGTCGACTACAAACGAAAGCAGCTTATCAAAGCTTTCTCTGCGCATCCGAAGTCGTCTAACAAAGGTCCCACGGTTCTGGTGTTTCTGGCAATACCGATCCCAATGCAACCGTTGCTCGAAAAAGGAAGGATTCCTGGATTCGCCCGGTAGACACAGTAGAAGACCAACCATAAGAATAGATAGTTGCAGAAGCAACGCCACATCTTGTTCGTATTCCTCATCATTGAAGTCCATTGTGGCAGAGTAACTACACGACAACGACGGTGCTAGCAACCACGGTGGTAGAGTTACTGTGTTCTCACTTTTACTATACTGATGAGGCTGATGAGCGATCTCGAGATCTCTCACTTTTCGATTTTCGATTTTCGTTAGAGTTGGGGATTCGTTGGGACTGACGTTTTCGGAAGCTGACTGACGTTTTCGGAAGCTGGCTGGCTCTAAGCCAAATCCATTTCCACGAAAGCTGCGGTACGGCGAATTGAGAATGTGAAATCAATGGTTCGCCGTACCGCAGCTTTCGTGGAAATGGATGGAAAGCAAGCCGATTTTAACAGTTAAATAGATTTCACGAACGAAGGGAGGAATAAAGAGGCTTAAATAGCTGGTTAGGACCCCGCCTCAGTATGGCTTTCCATCGAACTTGTGAGCTGCTGAGGGTGTCGCCAGATGGTGGTCGAAGGTTGAGAGCTCACGATGCGTGATGCGTCTCTCGTTTCACACAACTGGAAGCCAGTACGGCTGTACGCATGTAGAGCTATGGTAGCTAGCTAGCTACAGTACTGGTACCGGTACGGTGGCTTGCAAGGAAAAAATAAATGTCACAAAAGGAACGTACCGGTAGGGGTACATGTGTGGTTTTCTGGCTGCCCTCTTGTTGCCACCGGTAGCTACCGTAGCTATTGCGTGTTCCTAGCCAGTAGGAGACTATTCATACAACAGCACTCTTCTGAAGCACGAGATCTTAGATGAGTTACCATTGCAAAGAAAGAGTCCAGTCGAGTCTCAGTCCTTTTGCGTTTCCTTGTCTTGGGAGCAGATACCGAATGGCTTCGATGCATGCGATGCCTGCACCGGTCTGCAGTTGCCTCCTCGGTCCACGAATATATTCGCATGGTGTGCCGCAAAGCTGGCATCACTAGCTAGCTAGTCTTGATCTTTGCCGTCTTCTGGCTTGGGCTTCTGTCGTGATCACCTACCTTGTGACTCAGCAGACTGACATGTCGCACATGTAGCTTGCTAAAAGAAGGCGGATTTTCGGAGGAGGCCAAAAAGAGTTCAAAACGGTTACAAAAGGTCTTCTCAGTAAAAAGGCTTAATTTTGCTCTACCAGGACCTGAAGCTACCTGGTACCTGGTATGATTCCAGTCACGTTTGTTATTTTCATTGAAGCATAGCAGAAGCTTGTGTGCACGGTGGTTGGGGAATTGGTCAGAAGGTTTAAAAGCACTCGACCCCCAGGCTTGGTGGGTAATTACTGCAGTAATTCCTGGTTACTGGTTACTTACTGTACTTTTACTGCCTTTATTGGCCAGTAGTTACTGCAGTCAGTAATTCCTGGCAGTAATAAATCTGCCAATTTAACAGTAATTGACAGTAAATGACAGTAAAAGCACAGTAATCACCCTATTTTACTGCAATTACTGTAATTTACTGCCTTCAAATGGCTTTAAATTACTGTACCTGATTACTGCTACTGAGGAATTGCTGCATTACTGCCATTACTGCTACTGTTTGGCCCCTCCAGTCAGTAATCAGTAAACAGTAAATACCAACCTAGCCCCCAGGTGTCCATCGATGTTGTTCAAGGATGCTTCAATATTCAATAGCAAGCTCTTCAATGCACATGTACAGTGGTCAAAAATATTTTTTATGGCGCTTCTAGCTGTTTTGCCAGTTCTACCACTGCCCCCCAATGTTTACCACTGCTTAATCTAGGTTCCTAAAACGATGCTACTACTGTTTACCGTTGCAAGACGACATCGGTTTGTCGCTGGTGGGTTACCGTTGCCGACCACTAGTCTATCCATCTCTCTCTGTCTTGATAAACTGTCTTGATCAGCTCTTGATCATGGTTTACCGTGAGTGGTTGGATTGGTCTGGATCTGCTCCAACGGCGGCAGTACTGAGTAGTCCCGTAGCTGCGACACCTAGAGGGCACCGTAATCCAACCAGTGAAGGCAGGGGCGAAAAAGACACTGTGGAAGTGTGGGGATTTTGAGTACTGTACTACTAGTAGTAGGGAGGTCATCCATCGTTCCTGATGAGGCGGAAGCCTATCTCTGGTTTTGGTGACTGGTGTCATTATTTTTCTCACTATTTTTCCTGATTGAACGCCTCGATCGTTCGAAAACCAACACCACCACACCACACCACACCAACACCATGATCAAGTCTCGCATGGCGTTGACGGTCCTGAACTTTAGCTTTCCCGTGACGGCTCCTTATCAGCCAACTCCAGCGCCGGTTTCTCCCTGCGACTTGCAGCTTCCAACTCCTCTATCTCCTTCTGCATCTCGCCACTACCGAGTGGCGGTCTTGGCCATTCGTGGGGTGGAAACGGCGCAAGCGCAATGGGGTCTTTCGTTTGGGGACTACTTGACGGCCACGGCCGGGAAACGATTTGATCCACCCGTGTCGTTTGAAATGGTGCCAGTGCCCTTTGGCTTGGAACGAGAGCCTGTCGACATGTTTGTCCATGGCGACTATGACTTTGTCTACGCCAATCCTAGCATGTTCAGTTGTGTCGACAGTGAAGTCGGAATGAACACTCTGGTCAGTGTCGTTTCCAAGCGCAAGGTCAACGGACAAGTCTACTCCTTGACAGAGTTTGGTGGAGTCATATTCACATGGGCAGGGAATGACCAAATCAACAACGTGGAAGACTTGGCGCAAAAACGTGTGGGGCTCGTCAACATTGCTGGGTTGGGAAGGTAAGTAAAGTACAGTACTGGTTCATCTCATACTAGCCTAGCTACGGTAGCCAGTTCGTGTACATGCCAACTCACCCTTCATGTTTTGCTTGCTATCTTCTATTCTATTTTTCTGTAGTGGGCAAATGCAGTTTCGAGAAATGATCAAACATGGTCTTCACCATTTGCAAGACCCCCAGCAACTCATCTTTTTGGAAAACCAAAACAACGTGGTACAGGCGGTCTTGAACAAGGAAATTGATATTGGCTTTGTCCGAACAGATCAATTGGAACGCTTCATTGACCCCGCCACCAACGAACCGCTCGATCAATCCAAAATCAAGATTGTAGGCTCACAGCAAAACTTTCTTGCGGATGGGAGCCCCTTTCCCTTTGCCTCGTCCACGCAAGAACTCTATCCCGAATGGGCCCTCGCCAGCTTTCCCAGTGTCAACAAGGAGATTGAGCGAGAAGTCCAGCACAGTTTGATGGATCTCACTCGACATGCCGCTGCTGCCAAGCCTCTTGTGGAATGTTACGAGGCACGCAACTGCACGTCATTGGAAGACAACGACCAGATCTGCCAAGAAGAGTGCTTTCGTCAAGCCCATCCTTGGGGGCATCAAACCTGTGAAGCAAATGCCGATACGACACTCCTCGCAGACTTGGCACAGACGGCGGGAAAGTTTGCGGGATGGAGAACGCCCCTGTCGTATATGTCCATTCGAAATATGCAACAAGAAATTGGATTTATTCAGCATCGTCAAGATGGGACCTTTCAGTGTCTGCGGGGAGACTCCTTGGCCGATTCCGTCGTTTGTCCATTGGAGCATTTCAAAAAGCCCGTCAACGAAATTGCAACCGGGTGTGAGGATCTGGGCATGCCCTGTTATGGCTTCTCCTGCATGTGCAAGCCATGTGTCAAAGCCTACGACGTCGATGTCTTTCCTCTGACAACGACTCCGGCAGTATTATCATCCAACAACAACAACAATTCGACCAATCATCAAGTTGGATGCGGCAAGTTTGATGTGTGCGGCGTCGTCCAACAAAACCACAAACTTGTCTTTCGAGCAGTCGACAATCGCAAGCGACACAACGCATCCTTTGCGGTCCTTCTTCACGTGGGTGGCGACACGCAAAAATATCACATGAAACAACCACAAAATGACGACATGTTTGCCTACGAATTTGAATTCGATGCCACCGACAGCACGGTGGGATATCTCATTATGGAGATTAGTGTCATGGAGGATGGCGAATGGAAACAGGTATCACAGAGTCCTTTTCGACTGGAAGTTGAGCCTCCGGATTGCAAGGCAGAGACTGGAGACAGTGGGCGTGTGGCAGATGCCAACGGGAATTGTGTGTGTGATAACTCGACCGTGGAGCTGGCGTCGGGATGCATGCCGCTGGGAGTCTTCATACCGGCAGTCATTGTTCCCATTTTACTCGTGGCTGCGGCCGCCATGTTCTGCTACTTGTGGTGCAAACGAAAACAAGACGAACGCATGTGGCAAATCGATTCGAAAGAACTTTGCTTTGATTCGCCGCCTCAGGTCCTTGGGAAGGGACGATTTGGGATGGTATACCTCTGCACTTTCAGAGGCACCGAAGTAGCGGTCAAGAAGCTGTTGGATGCAGACCAGATTGACGAAACTGGACACACGTCCATGGGAGTGCACGAGGTTGGAAAGGTTGTCTCTCTCCCAAGTGCAAAGATGGAGGATGTGGAACAGTTCCCAGACGAAGATGCCTCCGACACAGAGAGTCAAGAAGTAGGTATCACGTCTTGCCTGTTTGTTGCAGAACAAAGTAGTCGCGGCTCTAGTTTAATGGGCTCCAGTGTAATGAGCACGGTGGGGAGCTCCCGGAATCCACAGGCAACTTTGAAGGCAGAAATGAGACTGCTCTCAAAGCTTCGACACCCAAATGTGGTGACCGTTGTGGGATGCACCGAAGACGCTAGGCTTGTTATGGAATACATGGAACTGGGCTCGATGAGTGATGTTTTGCGCAGTCCAACAATGGTCGTTGATGACGGCAAAGTACTCGGGATGGTGCAAGACGTTGCAAAGGGGTTGCGCTTTTTGCACGCAACAAATATTATTCACGGAGATCTCAAAGCTCAGGTATGAAACCGTACACGGTTTCCATGATTTTGTGGATTCTGTTTTGGAACGCTAATGTACTCAATGTCTCTTCATCTCCGAAATTCCAGAACGTCTTGGTTGATGCCAAGTTTCGTGCCAAGGTGAGACATTTCAAACCGGTGTTTTTGACAATTGGCCTCGCATGGCAATTCTAATCCGTGCTTGGTTGAATTCTTCAGGTTGCGGACTTTGGATTATCCAAGCATCCGAAACGTCGTCGAGGAAAGGGAGCATCGGGAACTCCCTTTTGGATGGCAGTAAGTATGAATGGGTTATGTTTGCGAGGGCGCCGCGGTTCACATCTGACATCGTGCGCATTCTTTCCAACAACCTTTGTCATACTACAGCCCGAGCTTCTGCGAGGAAAAAGCGGTAATACGACGATGTCCGACATCTACTCCTTTGGAGTTTTCCTTTTTGAAGCATACAAACGGCAATACCCATACCAGGGAGAAGATCCCAACGAAGTGCTCCGCAAGATTATTGATCCCCTCGTCAACAAACGTCCATCCATTCCTTCGCGCTGTCCCATGCAGGTTGCTGGTATAATGGAGGCTTGCTTCGAAGAGCCTGAAGGGCGTCCCACGGCCAGCGAAATCGATGAGAAACTAGCAAGCATCACCCAAGATGTCGGCAGAGGTCAATCATTGCTCTGGGAGCTGTTCCCGAGACATGTTGCAGCTGCGATTCGAGATGGGCGGACGGTGGAGCCTGAAACCCACGAGAATGTTTCGGTTCTCGTCAGCAACATCGTGGGACATGAAACCCTTGCGTCCACCCTCTCCCCAACAAAGCATTCCAATTTGCTAGACCGTTTGTATAGCAAGCTTGAAAACCTTTGTGATCTCCACAACGTTTTCAGGCTGGTGACAGTGAATGATGGCTTCATGTGCGCCACAAACTTGGCGGAGGAGCAACATGATCACGTCCGTTCTATTGCCGCATTTGCTGCAGATGCGCTCAAGGCAGCGGCGTGTACTTTTGTTGATGAAGGAGACCCATCCAAAGGTTACGTTAGTATACGGATTGGCATTTCTTCTGGCACAGTAGTGTCTCATGTGGTTGGATCAAGAACTCCCCGATACTCAATCTTTGGCCAACCTGTCAACATCGCAAACAAATTAGAGAGCTCGGCAGTCGCAGGACGAGCACAATGTGCTGAGGTGTCTGCTAATCTTCTTAAAGAGCAAGACCCAGAGGCTGATCTCTTTCTTCAGGGAATGGTACCAATTGATGGGGGAAACGAGATAGTCTCGTATTGGATTGGGGAGCCCATCGTACCTGGCTCCGAGCCTGTTGCGGCAGCGCCAGATAGTGGTGTTTCTAACCAAGGGTTGGGCAGTCTGGTTGAATGGAACGTGGACGTGTTGGCTCGCGTCATTCGAGAGATTGTTGCAGCCAGAGACACACACCATGGCAATAGGACACAAGCAGACTTCTCTCACTTGGCCGCAGCAAGCGAGGCAGGGACCATTATTGATGAAGTAGAAGAAGTCGTATCCCTTCCCAAGTTCGATGTCGATACCATACGACGCATGCAGGAACGACAGGGCGTGGCCCTTCCTCGTGATGTGATGTTGCAACTACGAGACTTTGTCACTGAGATAGCACAGATGTATGACAATGACGTGCCATTTCACAACTTCCAGGTGGGTACAATGCTATCATTATCGATCTCAATTCTTTCGTTCGGTGCCTAACCATTTGATTATTGTCTCCCATGCAGCACGCAAGTCATGTCACTCTTTCGGTGGTTAGGCTACTAACGCGTATCAAGGCTGTGCCAATGTCAGGACTGGGCGCAACCAACCGAGACAACGAGGAACAGAGCAACATGTCTCTCCACGAGTGCTCATTCGGTATTGCGTCGGATCCAGTCACTCAGCTGGCTATCATCTTCAGGTACGTCCAAGAGACTTTTCTCCTGCTAGTGATCACTTCAGGAACGGTGCTCAGCTCTGTGTGTTGAAACTTCAGTGCATTGATCCATGACACGGCACACCAAGGTGTCCCAAATGCGCAGTTGGTGAAGGAGAACCAGGAAATCGCGGCCAGATACAAAGGTCGAAGTAAGTAGGGCAGAATTGTCAATGGGACCTGGCTTTGCTTCCTCTCCGAACCTTCATCTCACCAATGCACACAAAACTGACGACGACGAAGGTGTTGCTGAGCAGAACTCGGTAGCGTTGGCTTGGAATTTGTTTATGAACCCCAAGTTCAGCGAGTTACGTCACACCATTGCGCAAACAGAGGCTGAAATCACCCGCTTTCGACAGCTGGTAATCAACTGTGTCATGGCGGTGAGTTCCGTGCAGCGGAGTTCCTTTGCATTTTCTCCGAATCTTGTTGGCCTAGAATAGCGGCATCTGACAAACTTGCTGCCCGCACGTTGCTTCGTCCCATGTAGACTGATATCGTCGATAAGGCGCTCAAGCAACTTCGCAACAATCGATGGGACACTGCTTTCGGTGGGCAGATCGCAGAAGAAGAGGAGAGGGCTGTCAACAGGAAAGCCACGATTGTGGTAAGTGCTTTCTGTATCTGGTTGTTCCTCGCTTACATGTTTCTACGATGCTCACTGCTTGAACCTCTTCCTATTATGTTCAGATTGAGCACATCATACAGGCAAGCGACATTGGACATACAGTAAGTTTGACAAACTGAGCTTGAAAACAAGTCTTTTGTGGGAACCGTTTGGTTAACCGTATCTTGCCTTGATCTTCATTTTCAGATGCAGCAGTGGCATGTGTACAGAAAATGGTAAGTCAGGTATTGAGCAATCGTTTTGCGGTTGGTTCCAACACAGATACTCAAAGCAGTTCAATCTCTTCTGATGTACACAGGAATGAACGCTTTTTCCATGAGTGTTACAAAGCCTACAAGGAAGGTCGTGGAGAACAGGACCCGTCCAAGGGTTGGTACAAAGGAGAAATTGGTGAGAGCAACCTTAGCGGGAGCAGCTGCCTTTGACGGCGCACGGATCCTTCAGTGATTTCATGCTTCTAACCAACTTTTCTTGCTTTGGCTTGCTGACCATGGCAGGTTTCTTTGATTTCTACATCATCCCCCTTGCGAAGAAACTGCAAGAGAGTGGCGTCTTTGGGGTGTATGGAGATGAGTATGTCAAGAATGCTCAGGCGAATAGAGAAGAATGGGTCAAGTGCGGGGAACATGCTTTGGCGGAGATGATGGAAAAGCAGAAGAAGAGAAGATAAGGTGGCACGGGTAAGGTAAACATGAAGAGTGTGCGAAGGAAAGAGACTATTACTGAGGATACAGCATGGCAGCAGCATCCAACCTGGCAGGTCCTCATCAACTACATGAACTAGTATATGCAGTCTTTTAAAGAGCCAGGTACCTTCACATCCAGTAATGAGGTTATATGATGGTTGTTTGGGGCTGATAGTATGCTGCTTAGTCAGAATAGAAGGCTGGCATTCTGCTAGTGCTTTTATACAACGTTGTGTTTTGAACTATGGCAGGGAACACAAGCGGTTTTCCACCACCAGCAGTTTGCAACCCGCATTGCTAGATCATCTACAGAAGCCCGTGAGGGCCAGTGGATCAAAGGGCTTGGCTTTTCGGAAAGTCGATGTTGCATACGGTACAGTACGCGGTGCAGATGAGTGGAGGATGGAGTGGAATGAAGTGAAGTGAACGAGGAAGGAGATTTTGAAAAGGCTAGTTGCTTGCTACCTGATAACTTAGATAAATTAGGGACGGGAGCTAAAAAGGGTTCATCGCCTATCCGACAAAGAAAAGGTCCCGATGGTAGTGGCCATCACTCCTTTCAGGCATCCGTACTCCTCTTGTAGCGATCCCTGACCGACGAACTCCCGTATCTATTCCGTAACAATGCCAAAAGAATGCCCATGAGCAACAAGCCCACGAGGATTCGAAAGAAGATGGATGCACCAGTGCGGATAATGACTTGATATCCCCAGACGCCATTCATGGAAACCACCATGACATCTGTGACACCGTCGCCGCTGACATCTGCCAAAATGGGTCGTCTCGTCGATCGTTGTGGGATATTGGTGGACGCCAAGACGTTGGCAGATGTGGCACTCAGTAGAGCCATGCTGCTCTCCCCCACCAAGAGAAGAGGCCTGGCATACGGTGCCACCTCGAAATCATCCACTTGCAATCGCGTGAATGAAACCGTCTGAGTGGCCTCCCAGGGACCCCACGAGGGAAAGTTTTCCACGTTCTTCCCATTCAGTTTCCACTGTCGTCTACCTGTACCACCACGAACCCGAGACACGACACCGTTACTCCTGTTATTATCGTTGCAGGCACAAGTAGCAGAGTGAGTGAGAATGGCTGCTTCTATCACCGAGCTTCGAAACGGTCCCTCCTGTACAGAGTATATCTGTATGCGTATATACATATAGTACTTACATGGCAAACACCACATCCTTTTCTCGATGACGATGTTGCGGGTACATCGACTCCACCACCAACGGAGGCGCCGGATGCACGGGAACCCAAGCTCCATCCATATTTTCTCCCTCCTGATTGGTGAGCTTATTACCCGATGTTCCACAGAGGGGCGTCGAGAACAATTCTTCTCGTGCCGGAACCCCACTCAATGCCAGTGCATGACACAATCGTGTCACGTGATGATAGGATTTTTTGGCCTCCTTGACTTTTTCCTTGTGGGCTTTTTCACGAAATTCGGCATCGGTGACTTTCTTGGCCAATGTGGCGACCCATGGATCGGAGTAATTGCCAGTGGTGGGATCGACGACGAGCTTTTTGCCATTGGTAATGACTTGAATGGTGTCCATGACGCCATCGCGTTGCAAGTCGACGTAGAGTGCTTCTTCGAGTAGCCCGAGTCGACAGAGTGGTTGTCCATTTTGGAGCGAATGGACGTGCAATCCTCCGGCATGATAATTGACAATGACATTGGGTCTTCCAAAATGGACATGTCCTCCGTGTGTTCCATGATGATGTTGTTTTTGTTTGCGTGGATTGAGCAAGAAGGACCGCCAGGATTGTTTGGTTTTGGAATGGGGTCCTCCCTTTTTATCTTTCTTTAGATTTCGGTGATGATGATGATGATGATGGGGACTGGTTTCTCCTGGCTGATGCACCATGGATGACGATGAGGACGACGACAATGGTGTACGATGTTTGTGTGCGTGATGCTGTTCGTGTCGATGAAATTTGCGTTGTGTATTGGAATGATCCAAATGCACGGCCCGAATACCGGCATCGGCGGGTCCCCAATACGCATACGGCAAGGCATCGGTGGCGCCCAATAGCGAGTATCGATATCCACTCAAACAATTGGGCAGGACACTGCCCTTTCCATCATTTCCTTGTTGATGATGATGCTGATGATCCGAAACGATGGATTCATCTAGCTTGGCGACTTTGGATCGACGACGCGCCAAAGAAGATTGTCCCCGTTCGAGTTGTACGGGCAGTGGTACGGCTTCCTCGGTGGGTTCCGCAAAGTTTTGTAGTGAATCCCATAGAATTTCTCCCGTCATGGCATCAATCGCAACGACAAACCGCGGGACCTTCATGGGATCCTGTTGTGGTTCTTGTCCCATATGCAACTGTGGTTGGTTGTCTGCGGACATGTCTCCACTGACAATGAGCATTCCATTGCGGGCATCTGGTACGGCATCAAAGGCATCCAGAAAGGTGAGTTGTACGCGTGATGGATTCCGAATGGGTTGTGGTAAATTCACTGCTTGGGTGGTCCACATGGTTTGGAATTCGAGTGGCGTCTTTTTCTTGTAGTTATTGCTGTTGGATGTGAGAGTCCGTTTGAGTTTGTCTTGTAGATTGGCCACCGTGAGATTGGCTGGATCTAGTATAGTTGGTTGTGCTTGTTTTTCGGCATCTTCCTTCTGTGACGTAAGACTGTGCATGGTGACTTGTCCATTGGACCAAATGGTGAAGCAACTGGGCAATCCCCCGGCTGGCGTCAAATGGTAGTTGTCTTCGTGTATTTCATCAACTAGTGTGTCTCGTTGTTGTGTTGGTTTACTGGAATCACACGGTGTGTCGGCATAACATCGTTCATTGTCCGGACAGACATCGGCCGTTCCACTGGGACACGGAGTTCCACACTTGCTAGCCGCATCGTGCCAATCACTTCCACAATAGTAGTGCTTGGATCGTTCATCGAGATTCATCGAATCAAAATCTGCCTCTGCCGATTGCCTGGGAATGCCACGGACCATCACTTGACCCGTCACAATCTGCAACGGCTTCACAGGCGCTCCACCGTGTTCTTCTTCTTCTCCTTCTTCTTGTGACATGACAATAGGATCCGATCGCAGCAATTCCCGTGGTTGAAAGGGCGCTCCCAATACACCCGTCTTGGCACTACTATAGCTCGAATGAAGAGGCTTTAAATCCAACAATTGCAGTACAAATTGTTGTCCACCATTCGTCTTGTGCACTAGCGTCGGCAGCATGGTGACCAACGCTTCGGACGTGCCATCGCCATCCACGTCAAAGGCAGCGGGTGGCACTTGATCGCGTTCAAAGGGAAAATAAAAAGACAAGTGGATCGATGCCGATAAATTCTCGGCTTGATCATTCCATGCCATGCGAGTCAGAATCAGAGCCAAAAAGGCAGCTACAATGTCGCGAGTTCGAAGCATACTAGTATAGGTTCATTCAATGAATTGCAGACACAATCAGAATAGTAACAGATGAGCGACGGGAAAGATATTGATGGGGTTGTAGTGGACGGTCGGCCATTGTCGTCGAGCGGTGGCGAAGATTTGGCGTCCTTGGATCATTGAGATTTAGGGATGGAGATAACCAAGTCGACTTGACTCAATGGACTTGATGCTTCCCGTCATTGGTCTCGTCCCCGGTTCTTCCAAGCGCACTCTTGTTGCATCATTTGGGTCGACAAAATAAGACTCGTTACGAGATTCATGCCTCTTACATTGATGGGCTTTCCCATAAGGGTTCGTCTTTTTCGATAGCATAGCATACCAACAAACGACCTCCAGATTTTTGCTATTACTTACATTCATACATACTAAATCTAAATTGACCTCTCCGCAACTCCATTTACAGCAGAACGCTTTGCCTCCAAACCTCTCCTTCCAGCTTTCATCCTCATCAGGTACTGTACCGTACTGGCCACGAAAACAAACAAAACCATGATACGTACCACATGTACAACCATTATCAGAATACAGTTGCTAGTGATATTACTATATCATTTGTGTCAAAGTTCCGAATGCAAGTCGCATGTACGGACGCTTCGAGTCAAGGGCGCCTCTTCATCTTCCACAAACACAGACAAACAGATTCCACAGCAACAACAACAACAGCGAAAACCCCAGGCAACAAAGGGAGGCGCCCGCATTGAAGTTCCGCCTGCATCTCATGACAAAGCACTCAATGATAGTCCCAAAAAGGAAGAGTTTGCGTCACCAGATGTCACTATTCTTTCTCCTGCGTCCGTAGACACAGCGGCTTCCTCCTCCTCCTCCTCCTCCAAGGCAACTACTATAACCACGACCAAGACGACCAGTACTAGTGCTACTGCTAGCAGCAACGATGCTCGTCCCGTCACTCCGGTTTCAAAAGCAACCAAATCGCACAAATCTTCTTCGTCTTCCACGAGTTCCTCCTACTCGGCGGCCAAAAAGAGCTTGGATCACAGCAAGGAAGCATACCATAAGATATCTTCGTCATCACACCAAAAGCAGCAGCAGCAACAACAGCAAAAGAAGAGCTACCAGCAAGAGGAAGCGCAAAAGTTGACGTCCAACTCTGACCCAGAAAATATGATTGTCTTGTATGCTGAAACGAAACCGCCCACGAAAGCACCAACGCCATCCCCCACCGAACAACAACGAGTGGAAAAAGAACATGTTCAGGAGACCAACGACAAACAGTTACTGACAAAGCCAGCCAGAGTAGAACGAAAGTTCCGAAATCGGCCGCAAGAACATGAGGACGAGAAGAGTAAGTCGTAGCTGGTCATTTACGGTATGATGTTGATTTGATTCTGTGACAAGAAAGAGCAACGGAGCTCACATACATGCTTCACATTGCCGTTTTTCGTTCCACAGAACCCATGCTGGAAGAGCAGCAACTTCATGGTAAGAGAGAGACGCTGTGGTATTTTGAATAGTAGTGCGTGTGTTGTGTTCACCCTTGTTTACTCATCGTCCTGCTGCCGGTACTTGCACACGCCAGCACACCAAGTCGACATTGACCAAGAGCTCCTCCAAGCATCCATCGAGCTCAGCCCCTTTTCCGTCCTCTTTGACATTCAACAACAGGCTCCAGACGCCATTCATTACGTGGATGCTGTGCGGGTCACGAGAGAATGCATGCGACCATTCATGTTCTACAAATTTGATGATGCCCTCGAGTATTTTGCGCTCACCAGCCACAAGGCGGGGTTGACTTCGCAAGGACCACGCATTGACTTTGTCGCACACGTCAAGTTCATTGATGGTGCGGCGGCATTGAGTGACGAAACAATCATGGAGCAAATACAAAAAGCATTCACAGAAGACTTGACGTTTGTCGAACACTATCTAAAGCACTTGCAAGAGTTGGACTCCAGCAATCCCTTTCACGAAACCGAAAGAATACGCTTCCATTCGATCTACCAAATGCAAGATAGTCTTGTCGACTCGCGAGTTGATGTGAACAAATCCAAAATGAATCCAGCCAGCATCATTGGTGCCTTTGCAGGTGCCGCCATCATGCTTGGTATATCGGGTCTCATTATTCATCATGGTAGCAAAAATCTTGCAGCGGAAGATGGAACGGCCAAGGGTTACGCAGAATATGCTGCCGCCTTGGATCCCACTTCATCATCATCAACGACCGGCGACGTTGTTTCTTCTTCGGCTCCCTTTTTGATCAACAAGAAGAAGGATCTGCATCCATTTCTAATATCCAAGGCGAAGGAGTCAACCCTATTACTGAATTGGCTGCCACGGTATTGGCAACTTGAAGGTCCTAATGAAAAAGCAGAAGAATTCGATCAAGACGACGATGAGGATCCAGAGTTGTGTGAATTGTCCATGTCCGAGTCAACGCACTCCTCTGGGACCTGTGATACGGATGCTTCCATACAGTCCTTTAAAAGGGAACGCAGTCACAGCTTTTGATTCCAAACACGAGGGCTCTGTTTCAACTGGCACCCAATGATAGGCTTGGAACTTACTTTGCCGGAAGAGATTCATCGTTGCTACCATACGGTAGGTAGCTAAAGAGGAGAAGTGTAACCAATAGTGCACATGTATTATTTAGCATTGCTTTATTTTCATCCATCTTGCTTTCTGCTCCCCTGATCTAAAGGAAGGCCCACTTGGCCACTTGGAGCATTGATGTCGCTTAGATCTTGGATGGCTGTCGAAGGAAATTCCTTGGGTTCAGTCGACTCCCACGCTCAAGCCAGTCACGGTTGAGAAGCAAACCCAAAACCCCAATCGAAGGTCGGGAAGCAAATTTTGATCCAACGCTCCCATTGATGGAAAGAAGCGCATATTTGCGTGTTTTGCAAGAGTCAGAAGCTGTCCTTTTTTCTTGTCCAACTGAACCTCTTTTTGTGAGAAAGAAACCACAAGGCACCAAGCTCTGATCGACAAATATTGAGCAACGGGAAGCAGTGTCTGGGCGCATACCAAAAAGATTGTAATCAGGAAACATATACGCAACAATGAGACGTCTCGTAGCAGCTGTATGTTTTTTGGTAGCGCTGCAGCATGGAGAAGCTAGTTCTATCAGACGCCTCAAAGGGCACAACAGGAAGCTTCAAACAAATTCAGTTACGCTGACGAGACCACCAGATCCTAAACAAAGCCAAGAGGCCAAAACCGGCTCAAAGGCACCCACGAAGCAACCATCCACAAAGGCTCCAACCTCCAAAGCGCCCACTGGGTCGACTGGAACCAAATCACCAGTCGCGTATGCTGCTACCAACGATATAGCCTATGACCATTGGGTAAGCCCGTCGGAAGATTACGACTCTAATGATG